GTGCAAAGGCGTCTTGCAAACCAGCCACACACATTGTACACAAAAAGTGTAAAGTTCGCCATAAACCAAACCACTGGCAGATAAAGTTGCAATGTCAATCAAACATACAGGTTATTTCTTAGAGAAATACATGCAACTGCCATCTCCAGTAGTTCATTTATTCATTCATTTTCTTGTTGGCTAGTCTCTTTATCAATTTGGGGTCGCCACCACGGAATGAACCGCCAACTTATCCAGCATATATGTTTTATGGAGCGAATGCCCTTCCAGCCACAACCCATCACTGGGAAACATTTATACACACAAATTCACAAACACACTCATACACTACGACCAATTTTTTAGCATACCCAATTGACCTGTACCACGTCTTTAGACTTGTGGGGGAAACCGAAGCGCCCAGAGGAAACTCACACGTACATGCAAACTCAACACAGAAATGCCAACTGACCCAGCCGAGCTGGAACCAGTGATGTTCTTGCTGTGAGGCTAACGTGCTACCCACTTCGCTACCGTATTGCCCATCTCCATTTGTCAGTCACAAATTCTAATATTGCCACTGGAAAAAGCATCCTGTGTCAGCTCGGGTTGTCAAATGCTATTGGCTCCCTCTTTGTCTTGCAACCAATCGTGTCGCACTAAAGTGCTCAAGCACCTTATTGAATCAGAATATTTTTTCCAGTGATTAAAACCACATAAGTGGCACAGTGGTTAGAGCTGTCAACTCACAGCAAAGATGTCGCTTGTTTGATTTCCGACTGGGCCAGTTGGCATTTCTGTGTAGAGTTGCACGTTCTCCTTGTGTTGGCATGTGTTTCATGAGGGTGCTTCAAAGACATGCACTAAACTAAATAAACTAAAGTGAATGTGAGAGTAAATGGGTGTTACCCAGTACAAGGTTGCGTCAGGAAGGGCATTCGCTGGGTAAAACATATGATGGAATAGTTGGCGGTTCATTCCACTGTGGTAACAAATCAGAGACTAAGCTGAAGGACAATGTTCTATAAATTGCATTGTCCTTTGCATAATGACATTAAATGGCTTCAGATGACTTGGAATGCAAATCAACTTGTTTGTACTTCATGTTATTTTGCACACACACAAACACACACATGCACACAAAAAACACAGTACTCAATTTTTATTTGCTTGGTGGTTATGTATGCTGTTGAGAAGTGGGAAGGTTTAGGGTAGATGCTCCAAAATATCTACGTTCATAAACTGATTTGTGTTTTTGTGTTTTAAAAATATGTGAGCCGCTTAATGTGATGCATAATGCGAATGACCAAAAGCATCAGGAGAACTCCAATCAATGTGAAATGATGCCGAAATCCATGATTACAAGAGTTTGACTAAAATCAAACATTGCTGCTAAAAAGGGTGGGATAGAATGAGATGAGAATGAGAATGCAAAATCGCAAGTCAAAGTCCACCAATCTTGAACTTTGGAATGCAGTGACATGTAAAACTTGTCGCATGAGCTTGAGTTTCCAGTCTGCCTCATTCACATGCGTATGAATTGAAGTCAATGGGGCAAAAAGTGCAGTGTCCACGGCTGAAGGAATACGTCACAAATTAAATAACGGCTCTGACCAAGTGTCTCTATGTGATGAGTAGGGAGGGAGAATGTGTTGTGTGAACACACAACCTGATGCATGGTTTAATTGTGATATTTTTAGGTACCATATTTAACAATATTAGATTGTCCACTTCGTTTCACTAAATAAAACTAAAGCTGAAATGGCCTCTGACATCGTACACTAATTACAGCTGCAGAGACAGATTTTTTTGCACTTATTTGAGTAAGCATTACTTTATTTTTTCACTGCCTTTTACAAATCATGTGCCCAATGACATTAATATATAAATCACAAGCCAGGTTGGTACTCACTGCAGAACGACTCATTTTATTAATGTGTCATGAAACAACAGTCAGTGAAAGTAAAAAAATAAATAAATAGTGGAGTTTGCATGTTCTCCTCTTGTTTGCGTGGGTTTTCTACGGGTGCTCCGGTTTCCCCCAAAACCCATGGGTTGCAGCTGGAAGGGCATCTGCTGCGTGAAACATATGCTGGATATGTTGGCGATTCATTTTTCTGGCGACCCCAGATTAATAAAGGGACTAAGTAGAAAAAAAAAAAAATGAATGAATTAATAATGTCAGCTGTGTCACTCAGAGCAGTCAATCACAATGACATCAATCATGAATATTTGAATAACTAAACTCTTGGAAAGACACGAGTGTGAAAAGAGTCGAATGAAGAGGCAAATAATCACAAAGAACGGGTAAATAAATAAATAACATCAATATAGTTTTGAAAAATATACAGGTATGGAAAAAAAAATCAAGTCTACTTGAATATTGAACATATATTATTAAACGTGTTTGAGTAAAATGATACCTGCTGCATTCTGTATAAGGTGATTTTTATTTGTTTCTTTCTTCGTGTGTGTGTGTGTGTGTGTGTGTGTTTGATATAAATTTATATAATTAGTTTCAAAGTTTTCTCTTAGTTATATAAAACTCTTGTCTTTTATTTTTGCTAACTAAACCAGGAGGGCAGTTTTGGTTTTCTACTAAATCCTACATTATTCATTGGACAGCATATTTTAGAACGTACTGTGGCGTCCTCTAGTGGACACTTGGGAAGCTAGAATTGTCACCAGTTCAATTTCAATGTTTACTGTTCATGCAAAGTTATTAATTGATATTTCATACTTATGAAAGACCTACTTTATATGATTTATATTTTTTCTTCAATAATTTAACAGTACCATCAGTATGCACATTTTTACATTCTTTCCCCTCCCCAACAGTGGCAGTTATAGTAATTAGATGTTGCTATCATAAATCCAATAACCACAGATAAATGATATAAACTCAATAAATAAAAAGCACACATACAAAAAAAAAAAAAAAAAAAATATATATATATATATATATATATATATATATATATATATATATATATATATATATATATATATATATATAGTTTAAAAACAAAAATAATACATATATAAAATAATTTCACTTTTACAGTGAGTCTCAACACAGTGGCCTTATTCATCCTTCAAAAATGCCGAATAATTTCCTATCTTCTCTGATAAACATCCAATTCATCAAGTAATGTATGTCATTTTTTTCATATGCTGCCACCTTCCCCAGTTCCGTAACTTATTTTTGAAATTATGGTAAACCTGCTGAATGCCATCGCCTCATAATGATTTGTCTTCCAATCATAATACTTATTTCAATCCACTCAGACATCTTCACACCAAACCCCAATACTAACAGTTCTCCCAGTTCATATGTTAAAGGACAAATCGAAAAGCAGAATCCAAAAACATCCTGAATATAAATGTGCACTTTAACCTATTATTTTAGAGCAGGACCACAGGGCATGCATCAAGTCTCCTTCGCTCTCACATCTCCAGCATTCAGCAGAGTCTAAGCCTGAAAAGCCTACTCAAGGGTCCAGTATATGTATGCCTCCATTTACACACACACACACACACACACACACACACACACACACACACACACACACACACACACACACACACACGGCTGAAGTCAGAATTATTAGCCCCCATGAATTATTAGACCGCTTGTTTATTTTTTCCCCCAATTTCAGTTTAACGGAGAGAAGATTCTTTTAACACATTTCTAAACATTATAGTTTTAATAACGCATTTCTAATAACTGATTTATTTTATCTTTGCTATGATGACATTAAATAATATTTTACAGACATTTCTAAACAGCTTAAAGTGACATTTAAAGGCTTAACTAGGTTAATTAGGTAAACTAGTCAGGTTAGGGTAATTATGCAAGTTATTGTATAACGATGGTTTGTTCTGTAAAGAGAAAAAATATATAGCTTAAAGGGGCTAATAATTTTGTCCCTAAAATGGTGTTTGAAAAATTGAAAAAAATCAAAACTGCTTTTAATGTAGCCAAAGTAAAACAAATAAGCCTTTCTCCAGAAGAAAAAATATTATCAGACATACTGTTAAAATGTCCTTGATCTGTTAACTTCATTTGGAAAATATTTTAAAAAGAAAAAAAGATTGAAGGGGGCTAAGTATTCTGACTTCAACTGTGTATATATATATATATATATATATATATATATTTATTTATTTTTATTGTACTAAGCACACTCCAACATTTCTTGATATTTTCATCAAAAATCCAAATTTTTTGGTCAACAGAAATAAAATGATTACAATAAATAGATATAGAATATAATAGTTGAGATAAAAACAAACAAAAAGCCAAAAGACTCCTCCCATCTTCTAATTCCAAAGCAAAAACTGTTTGTGTATCATTGCAATATAAAGATAAATGAAATCTTTACAAGACAATAGCATTTTTAGACTATTATGTTTTATTATTGATTTTTTAAAAATTCTTCTGTTTATCAAGGCGGCATTTATTAAAATGTAAAAAAAATAAATAAATAAATTAAAAAAAAGGTTAAATATTTATTACTATTTTGAATAACTGTTTTCTTACTGTATGTAGTTTCAAATGAAAGAATACATCAGTCATTATTGTTTTTATTACTATTACCATTAATGGTAATAATAATAATAATAATAATAATAATAATAATAATATTACAGTGATTTCTGACGGAGAAATTGAGTAATGAAGCTGAAAATGCATCTATAAAATCACTGGAATAAATGATTCAAATAAATTATAAACTACTTTTGAACAGTTATTTTATAGTGCAATAACATTTTACAGTTTGTACTGTATTTTTGATGTAATGAATGCAGCCACAGTGAGCAGGATCACCTTATTTTAAAACATTTAAAAATCATACGGACCCCAAACCTTTGACTGAGAGTGTATATTACAAATGATTTAAAGAATAAGGAAGAGGGAATTGTCAAGCTGAATCAACAATCGTTTTCTTTGTATTGAGCTCAGATACGCATATTTCCTTAATCTTGTGACACACCCAGCAGTTTGAATTCAAACAATGAATGCTTTAAAATATTTTATTGACAAAAAGAGTGATATACATCTAAAATACATTTAATAATATCTTTCAAAATACAACATTTTACATATGCAGTGGTCTAACATTAGAGTATCTGAAATAAAGACAAATATACTGCAATAGAAATGTAATCATCATGTGTATTTTCTATCAAGTGTTTTACAGTGATTTTTGTTGTCAGGATTTGCCATCACTTCCTTCAGTCTTCTGAGGAGACTCTGGACTTCAGCAGGTCAAATCAAGCTTTGGAGGGTTTATATCAATGGACCATCATCCCAAAGACTAGACTCCTTACTTTGACTCCTTTTCTTGATCTAGAAGAGCTGATCTAATTCCCAGCTTCTGCAGTTCCTCCACCAGGTCTCCACTCTGATGCATCTGAAGTAGAATATCACAGCCGCCGACAAACTCGCCATTGAAGAACACCTGTGGGATCGTCGGCCAGTTGGAGAAAGTCTTTATTCCTTTTAGAAGAAACAAAACAAAATGTCAGCAAAAATATCAATTCGGGAAAAGGATGAAACTCATTTTTATATTTACATTCTTCAGGAAACAGCTCAATGCCTTCCTCAGAGTGTAAAACTAACAGATAACAGATAATACCATTGTTTTATACTTAACTCTGACAATCAATTTAAAACAAGAACTGCAACATTTTTTAGATTTTATTAAATATTTTAATAATATTTTGTTTTTATTTGTATAAAAATAGATGCAACAATATGGCTATGCTAAAACCACAACAAAAATAATAATAGAAAACAATAAAATTAGACAACAACTAGTCAACAAAATAAATACAATTTAAAATCTAATAAATAAATTGATAATTTCTAATAATAATTAAACAAGACCCTTCAGGCCATAACAATATGCTATATAACTATTTTCTGGTGAAAAAAATTGTGTCTTTTATAGCTGGAAATCATGATTTCTCTTTTTCATTTTTTTTTTCATTATGAATTATTGTGTGTGTGTGTGTGTGTGTGTGTGTGTGTGTGTGTGTGTGTGTGTGTATATATATATATATATATATATATATATATATATAATATAATATATGAATGATATATGCATTTGAGAAGTAACATTAATTATTAATTTATGTTAAACAGGATGCTACTTGCACCATGTTGTAGCATTCATTTTAAATTGTCATCTACTTTGTTTCCTTTAAACTGCCTGGTCCTAAACTTTCAAGTCAAGGCTTTACTGTTTGCAAACTAACCTCAGCCATTTAAGGTTAACTCCCCAAATTCTTCCTGCTGCTCTGGACTGATAAAGACAATCAGAGCTGACAGCACTGCTGTTGCCGTTAGCACACATATGCTGGACTAATTCAGTTTTAGACCCAAGTTATCAACAAATAAATTGTTTTAAGAAAAATAAATAAATAAATAAATAAATAAATAAATAAATAAATAAATAAATAAATAAATAAATAAATAAAAAAATCTGCAGGTATTTTAAATATTTTTGAATTACTTAAATAATTTGTTATTTCAACTTTTTTAAAATATGCATACATTTTAACTACAAATGAAAATACAAGCTGTCAAATATTAAGTAACTCAAAAAAGGTTTTTAACAAGTGAAGGCTAAGTAAAAAAGATGACAATTTTTCTTTTTTTTGGGTGAACTTTCCTTTTAAGGTCTAGTATCTTGTGGAAAACTTCTGAGAAAAAAAAAACACAACAACAACAACAACAACGTACCTTTATCTTGTACAAATTGCTTCAATCTCATAACTTAGTGTAACATCAAGGCAATATTACCACATAATAATGAGGAAAAAAAAACATTTTTATGATCTCATATTAAGCAATATAAGACTAGTATAACGACCAATAATGGACTCCTTGGTGCTATTACAAGAAGACAAAACTATTTCAAAACTGCCTCTTAATGATAACATTCCTTAAAACAATGAAAAATGTCCTCATGACAAATGTCTCAGTAATCTCTCATATTAGATACAAAACATGCAAAAATTAGGATTAATAAAAATACAGAATTTTCTGGTTATTGGGACTTAAAAACATCATTTTTAAATTGACTTATAACTTCAAAATCTCTCGTTGATATCTTGTGACTGGTGATGGAATATATGAGCAACGAGAAACTTTTTCAAATTGATAAATAATAATAAAATAGTAATAATAAGAGATGCCAAACCATTATTGTGTGCAACGATGTATAACATTTATAAAAGTTCCCCATAATAATGAGGAATTTCCTTGTGATGATGCTAAACTTAAAATAAAACAATATAGTTGATAGATGTCTGAATAAGCATCCTAAAATAATGGAACACTGTCATGTAATGATGCTTTGGTTTCCCATAAGAACAGAGTGAATATAAAACCAACTTTACCTCTATGATTTCAGAACGAATATTCAAAAATATGGAACTTATCATAAGTTGTCACTGAATATAAACCCAACTTTACCTCGTTTAAAATTTGTCCTATGACAAGAATGGGTGGTGTTTTGTATACTTGTATATATCTTTCTCAAGTCATTATATTGATTAATGTTATGTTAATTCATATGTTAAATCACTGTTAGGGGATTGTTATATTGATAATGTATTAACAGTAAAAGCTGATAATGTTGAGATGATAAGGTGAAGTTTCAAACTTTATGAGAAATCAAGTAATTATTAAAGTGTCATTATTTTTATTTAGTTTTTTTTTTTTTTTTACAATTCATTAGTTAATATTGAGAAATTGATGAGAACCATTTTATTAATGTTGTTTTTTACTAATTTAGTACTATGAGAGAGGACTGTACATCATATACAGTATTTAAATGATCTGTTATTTGAAGTGTAGGTCATTCGTTCATTTAGAAGTCTCAATATTATTTACCATGTTACTTTGAATATTTGATCGGAATTAGCATGCAAGTATGACTACTAAACAACATTAACACACTGTATTTCACTGTGAACAATGCTGTACTTTGATAGTATTTGGTGCTAAAATAATTTCTCTTTTTAGAATTTGCAAAGAATACGTTTCTGAAATTATATTATTTAGTAGAATGTCTGAATATCCAAATATAAAACCAACTTAACCACTATTCTGAAGTCACATGCAAGTATTAACTTACTTAAAAACACAATTAGCACTATTAAGTGGTCTGTGAACAATGTACTTTAATAGTCATGGGCTGATTTCATTACTTAGTATTTGCAAAGAATACTTAACAGAAATTATATTATCAAGGAAAAGGCCATAATGACTGAATTTAAAACTAACTTTACCTTAATATGTTTGCAAATATATGCACATAAAGCGTTACACTTAAGATATACTTATAACTTACATTTTTTTTTAAAGTGACAGCTTAAATTTGACCTTTAAACTAGTTATTTCTGATTAGCATGCTATATGCTCAAGAATAATCACACTAGAGATTAGCACTTCACCCAAGTCAAAATGTAACTCTAACCAGTTTTAAAACTCTACAAATCCTCCAACCCCCAGAGACCATCAGCCACTGACCTTGTCTGACATCCTGGTCATCCAACACGTTATAAGAAGCGTAATTATCGACTCCGTGCATCCTGAGGATCTGAACGACGGCGTTGCTGAAGCCGCACATGGGCTGAGCCGGAGTGCCTTTCATGAACACGACCACCTTGTCCTTCTTCACCATCTCCTCCAGGTTCTTCTGTCCCGCTGAGGAGCACATGAGACGGGCCCTGCCGACCGACAGCTCCCCGTTCTTATGCGCGGTTTTGTACTGCCATGTCGCCGAGCGAAGACACCGCGCTGTCGACCTAAAAACGCTATTCATTGTGCAAGTCTGCGCGGTTTAGGGGGATATTTGAAGCAGTTTAAGTTCGTTTGTCACTTCTCTTTTGCCGCGACGTAGAACTCACTGGAGACTGGACTCAAGCTCCACCTCTTCTAGTATAAACACTCAGCGAGTGAAGTTTATTGGATGTCGGGTTTTTCTTCTCCCCTATGATTGGTTGAAGAATACGTCAGTCGTGAATGTTACGAAATGTTACGATTTTTTTATTTTCATCTCTAATAATTTCAGTTTATACGGTGCGAAAAAATGTGATTAAATGTGTCTACTTGCATTTGTTGTCACTGTAACTAAAACACGTTTGTTTGTTTTTGCTGAAAGAAGTGGAGTGGAGGCGTTTGCATCCGGTTAAAATGTACGCTAAAGTTTTTCTTCCGGTAGTCAACTGATTCATCTTCTAGAATCGACTCATTTAAACTGATCGATTCATTTCAAATAAACCATGGTAAATAATCCACACTCGGGTGGATTTAATCAATAAGCAAGATAAGCGGCAGTTTAGGGAACAAGGAAATCTGAGGGCCCCAAAATAAATACCTATAATTATAAATTATACCTATAAATTATATATAACACAATTTTCTGTCATATTTTTTATGATGAGTGTATAATAAAAAAATAAATGTTTATTGTTTATTACATCTGCGCAAATGTATCACCCCCTCAGTCATGGAGAAGTCCAGCAGTCAAATTAGGTAAAGATTAAAAAAAAAAAAAAAAATCGTATTTTATATATAGTTTTAGTTGTGAATTAATTTTAAGAAAACTCATTTAAAACGTTTTCAAGATGCTTTACATGTTGTTATTATTTTGGCTTGAGACAAAATATAGAAAATGAGTGATTGAGAGATATAAGAAAAAGAAACAGCAAAATAAATCATTTAAAAATAACTTAAAATAGAAAAGTTGCATTTCAGAACTTTTGGGCCCCATGGCTGGAATTGCGAGCCCCTAAATCACTAAACCAGCCCATGCCACACTGTATCGCTGGGAATGGATTTGAGGTTAAAGATTTTTCTTCCAAACCTCACATATAAACGTATTTCATTTAAAAGAAGATCTACTTTGCAAGCACACATAAAAAAAAATAAAATAAAATAAATAAATAAATAAAAAAATAAAAAATAAAAAAACTTACAGTTTCATGGTTGTGTGTGCGCACTTATAGTATACCTTTTCCCATTTGTGTATTTATGTATTAATTCATGTAATCATGACTATTTTATTGTTACTTATTGTTCGTGCATTTGTGTTTTTAATGCTTGTTTGTTTATTTTTTGTGTATACATAATTGCATTTTATAATATTTGCATGTTAAAATATTTCAATAAAACTAAATAAAACACATTTTAAAATCAAATCTTTATTTTTTGTTTTGGCTTATTTTATTGTTTACTTAAAATACTTTATAAAATTAATTTATAACCAAGTTATTAAAGTAAAAGTGCTAATACCAACTCTTTATCCCTGTAGTTTCACAGCATTAATTTAAAACGAATATGACATATTTTAACCGTAAACACAATAAGAATTTTAAATTGTTCAAACTAACTTGTCCATGAATCATACACAACGGTGTTTGTGAAAATGACTCAGTCTAAGGATTCGACTCTGAGTGAATGATTCATTCACGAAGCTCTATTTAACTGCACGATGTTGCATGGGCTGAGGAGACATGTTGTTGAAGGCTGCATAAATGTTACTTGTATGAAGTAAGTAGCTTAAGATAGCCTACTTTTGCACGCATATTGGCATGATTAAAGCAGTGCAGTCTCGCGGTCCGGTCTCCTGTTTGTCCAGTGACTCGAGACTCTGCGAAGCTGCACAGATCAGACTGAAGGATCCAAAGGCGTTACTTCTCCAGACTGAAGTTTTACGTGCGATATTCTTTCGACAGATCTTAACCTGTTTCCACGGCGGTAATGGTTGTGTTGTACCGTTACCAATCTAAAAACAGGCAGAGTAAAACAGCGGCAGTCAGATATTGTCTGGCAGGAGGAGCGCGCCTTTCAGACACTTCGAATTGCCACAGTTGTAGCATTGTGTTGCGGAGGAACCATTGATTAATTCATATTAACTTCTTTTATAGGTTTGAGACCGAATAGAAGCACGGACCCTGAATTGCTCGACAAAATGTGTTTAAAATGGCTTTGTTTACACTTATAACTAATTTATTGTTAAATAAAACAAATTGTACAAAACCTTTTGCAGTATTTTCCTACAGTTGTGTTCTGTAATTGTTTTTTTTTTTTCATTTTTATGAGCTTGTACAGTGAATCAGGGTAATTTGAGACTTGCTTTGCTCAATTTATAATAATAATTAATTATATTTGCAAACTGTGCTTTTCTGGATATCCAAGGTCGCATACTACAAGCATCAAAAGCAATACTAGAACAAATTAAATTAATTAAAACGTTTCCAAACAACATATTGAATGCATGTAAGGAGGTACAGGTACACACATTTTGAGTACAAAATAACACAATAAAACATTGTTAAAAGTAAGCCTGCTTAAAAAGATGGGTCTTGACTAGATTTAAAAGTGTAACGGCTATTACTGATTCTTGGATCCTGGGAAAGCGAGTTCCATAGTTGAGGAGCCATGGAGCAAAAGATCTGGCTCCCGTTGTACTTAAGTGTGAGGTGGCACCAGGGAGAAAGGCTTTAGATATCATTAAACTGATTTAGTTTATCTGACCAACAAAGTTGGTCTCTGGATGATTCCATCCGAATTTTGGTGTGCTTAAACTGATGAAGGCAATATGGACTCAAACCGCTTGGGTCTACTTGGATGATTTGTTTTCTGCATTTGGCTTGTCTGGTCAGCATGAACATTGCAAGTGTAGGCTACTTTTTATTTAATTTCTTACCCCATGGAGCACAATATTACACCAGGAGGCAGATTCATAAAGGCCGATTAGAAAAGTGGAGACTAAGGCCCAAAACCTTACTAGTATAAGCCAGGACATTCTACCAGAAATGTCAATTTTCGCTTATAAAAAACGTGTGACAGGGCCCGACCATTAAGCTTGTCCTTTTCAAAAAAACATATACTGTAAAATCATAGAATTCAATGATAGAAAGCATCCATAATCCCTGTCAGCTTCTCCATCAAATTATGTCACTTCCTCTGAGTCATATGTATTGTACGCTTATGTTTAATTTAATGCAAATGTGACAGGACTGTTAGAAACTTGGGGGAAATTGTAAAGTAATTTTTGTTTGTAGACTTTATTTAGAATTTTATGTTTGAATCAGTTGATGTGAATGATAACAACTTACCTGCTGTTTCTGAAGATATTTGTTTCTAAATAACAGTTTTGAGTATAACAAAGTTATTAAAGCTTTAGGTTTCAATCGGGCTGAGGACAAGGAGAATCACAGGGTTTGTACATTTGTAAAGTGTTTTTAAAAAAGAAAAAAACAATATGAGAACCAAATGAATGGCATATTCCTTAACAGAACAGCACACAGAAATCAACCGTCAGTCCATGTTGGACATTTATATGATGGAATACTTCTTATTCACTCTATTTACGTTTTTATTTCTAGGACAGATAATGTACGTTTCTGGTAGAATGTCCCAGACGAACTAAACATATGTGCTATAATTGGTAATAGTATCAATAGCTGCACCTGTATGTTCAGTGGCGTTTCACAAAATGCGAGGGCCCCCGGAAATCACGTTCAGTGGGGGGATGGGGTAGGGGGCCGGTCTGCTATGCCACTGTGTATGCCAGCAGGGGGTGCTCAACCTGCAGTTTGTGTGGGTTTTAACACCCCAGTATATCCGCTTGTTAAGTGGTGATGTGTTGGTAACCGGCTCCAAGCCACTCATTTGAATTGACAATATATTTGTTTATGACCACTTTTTATTCATATCACACATTAAAGTGAATTTTATAGAAAATCATGGTGTACACAACATTCTCTGGACTTCCTGCATCACAAATTCCAAAATTGTAACAATTTATAAAAAAATGAATCACCTTTTAGCCATCGGATATTAGGCATGGATATATACATTGCGATCGTAATTTTGAAAATATTACAGCGCTTTGTAAACATTTATTATGACCATTTGATGAGTCTTCCTATACAGTTTATTAGAGTGCTTGGACCCGGAAGCCGCTTCTCGTGACGTCACACTTAACAAGCCGATTGATGGGGACTTTATACTATATTTAGGAAGAACTATTCTTTGAATAAGATGTTAAACTGGCATCCTGGCCAGTTGCCTTCTGGCCACTCATGGTCTTCTAACCATCCCCATATTATAACTGGCTTCATCACCAATATTGTCTCCATCAGAAAGCTGATGTGTATGCGGTCTGGCATAGAATGGCTGTGGTCATGTCATTGAAGTGGATGTAAAGCACTTTGAATGTCCAGAAAAGTGCCATATAAATGACATCAAAATGGCACGATTTAAATTAAAGCCTAAAAGGGTCAGTTTTAAAGAGTTATAAAAGATTATTAATTTGGGTATATTGAGCTGAAACTTCACAAACATCAGATATGTATTTAACATTTTGTAAAATAAGGCACAGTAGGTCGTCTTTAAGTAAATCTGATAAGATAAAAAAAAAAAAAGGCTTGCTATTATTTCCTAAACATGATTCACTTAGAATATACTGCCCTAAGGCCTTACTGTGCTTTGGAGTTTTTCACAAATGAGACAGTTTTGCACATTTCCTCTTGCATGAACTTGCTCTCAACTCTAGTCTGCTAGTGTTGATTTTAAGACAGGCCCATCAAATAACTCTACAAAGGACAGAATGTAAAGGCATACATGGTCTGCATTTGAAATTGCAGTTCCTTAATATGTAGTAGGTGAAAATGGTTTCTGAGAAAATAACGTTTAAACTTAACAAGACCTGTTTGTATTATTAATCCAATAATTATTAAGAATAAGAACCTACTTTACAGAGTTTTGAGATTTTGTATACAGCTAAATTGTCCCCAAAATAATGTTTTAAAGAAAAAGTTGATTTAGCCCACATAGCATTGGTTTGAAAAACCAATAATAAAATATTATATAAATAATAAAAATATTTATAATAAAAATAATTTATTTATTATTTTTCTGTCACAGTCTCTTTTTCAGAGGTTGTCACAACGAAATAAACCGCCAAAAAAAAAAAAAAAAAACCCTCTTGTTATTATTTCGAGAACATGACGCATTAAGATGGGATACACTTCACCTAGAATACCGCCCTAAAGCAGTATTCAGGATAGTGAAGCTCACTGCGCTTTGGTGTTTTTCAGATATGAGACAGCCTTGCACACTTCTTGCATGAACTTGCTCTCAAGTGCCTAATCCGCGAGTGTGGGTTTCAAGACCGGCCCATCAAACAACCCTACAAAGGACAGAATGGATAGTCATAGAAATTGCATAGTATGTGAGGAAATAAGGATGTTAGAATTCAACAATACCTGGATTGATTATTTATTTAATAATGTATTCTAAAATAACAACCTACTAAATAGACTTTTGAGATTTTGGATTCAGCCCTGTTCCCCTCCCCCCAAAAAAACAATAAAAAAAGAAGAAGAAAAAACCAACGCAGCACTTATTTTGAAATCTCAAAGTTAAATCAATTTGTCAAACATTAAATCTTTCCATCAGGTAAAGACTGTATCCTTTTTAGCTGTATTTGTTTTGGCATTCCCCATTCATAATGTATAAATAATGACAGTGTTGACAGTGAGCAAACCAGATCTAAATGTATAATTTTCTCTCTCTGTCTCTGTTTTGTTTTGTTCAAATGAACCAAGAAAACTGAACCACAAATTGTGAACATTTTAAGTCTATTAAGTCAGTTTTCTTAAAGTTTATACCAGTTTAAACATATTTAAATATGATTTTCTGTGCTTTATTATATAAACAAATGTCGCTTTGGATTATATTTGTTAAAATTTTGTATGATTTCATATTTCACACAATGGATTTCAGCTTCTTTTAAATCTATGAATACACTGGAAAACTGGATAGGTAATCTATAAACACGCCCATGAATTCTTTGTTATTTTTGAACAAAATTTTATAGATTTTGTTGAGCATCATGCTTGATGGGACTATCACACAGATTTTTTTTTTAGAACGTTCAACAAGAATCCAAAAATCTACAGAAAAGGTACAAAATCTATAACAACAAAAGTAGACAACAGAACAAAACAAAAAGACAAACTAAAGAATATGCCAGGGGGAATATGAATTACAAAAATCACTTTTAATCTACCTTAAAGCAAGTTCACAGTGATGTTTACAAGATCACATACAATACAGTCATCTGGGTATTATAAAAAAAGAGACAATACTGTAAGATTCACATAGTGTTACTGATTTTAAAGCTTTAACATTGCTGGAGGTAGAGATTGTATTTAAATCATATTTCAAATCTTTACAAAAAAAATAAGAAAAAGGGGCTTTACAGACAAAAATTTGCATTTGTGTATAAAAAAATTTGCTAGTAAAATAAACAGATTTATTAGAAAATATTTATCTTTAGCTTTATCAACATGATAAAAACCAAATAAAACATCCTTGTATGACAAAGAAAAATTATATAAAAGAGAGACATGTATAAATAAACTGAATTCTTTCCAAAAAAATCTTAATATGGGTACATTCCCAAAAAAGATGATCGACAGATTCATCTATTTTTCTACAAAAGGAACAAAGGGGATCCTTTTCAGGAAGCATTTTTTTATATAAACATGCACTGGATAAACTCTATGTAGCAATTTGAAGGAAACCTCTTTAACCTTATTTGTGATTAGAAATTTGTTGGGTAAAGACCACACAATCTTCCAAAGAATGTCATGAAATAAATTACTCCAGTGAAATATAACATGAGCTATAGAGGTGACCATTGTTGTAATGACCATTATTATTAAAAAGTTGAGAAACTAAGCTAATATTATTCCTAAACCAATTAGGGAAAAAAATAGATTTATTTTTATAAAAAATATCATGGTTATTCCAGATATAATACTTATGGGGACTGAAGTTGTGTTTATATATTAAACGCCATGCTAATAATACTTGCTTATGAAAATTGGTTAATTTAATAGGAAGTTTGGAGATATTATAATTACATACTAATAAAATAGGGAGGCCACCAACTTTGGAAAAATATACTTGGGAATCACATTCCAAAGGGAATCAGGATCATTCAAAAGCTGCCTCAACCAATTTATCTTGAAAGTATTAATCATAGAAGAAAAATCAAGAAAGTTTAGACCCCATAATCATAACTGTTTATAATAACATATTTTTTAATATAGTGTCTTCTGTTTTTCCAAAGAAAGTCAAAAAGCATTCTATCAACCTCAGCACAGAAAGACTTGTTCACAAACAGTAAGAGAGCAGGATATGTTACTCCTGACATACCCTCACTTTTGGCAAGGAGTGCCCTCCCTCTTAAAGATAAGTCCCTTTGAAGCCAGGAATTAATTTTATTTTTATTTTATTTTTTTTGGTTTTGGCAATTACTGGGTCAAAATTTTATTTACCTCTAATATTGTCATTTTTGCAAATACTTAAACCTAAGTAGCATACTTGAGATTTAACAGGGATATTATAAACCTACAAAAGAAATCTTGTGAAAGTTAATCTTGTGCAATGATTGTAAAATAAAATTGTGCTCAAGAAAATCAAAAGCTTTTTAAAAATATAAAAAAAAGAATAAAGCTCTTCTCCTTAACTAATTCTGCATAATCTAATAACTCTAAGACGAGACGGATATTATCAGAAATGTTTCTTTTTGGGATATAACCTCTTTGCGTTTCCTCTATGATTGTTCCTAGCCAACACAATCTCACGGCAATTCATAACTTTTTCATTTAGTGGCTAATTCGTATGAATTCTCACAATCTAATTTGTACAATTTAGTACGATTTGCTTATCCCCCAATGATGGTTGGGGTTAGGGGTGGGGTTAGGTGCCATGCCTCCTTTTTTTAAAATCGTACCATTTCGTACGACTGAACTCAGGCTGTCCTAGCACACTTTTAAGCCCATTGGCCAATATTAATGCTAATATTTTGTAGTCACAACTTAAGAGTTAAATTGGACGTCAGTTATCTATAAAAAAATAATGTCTTTCTTTGGTTTGGGAATTAAAGTAAGTAAGCCTTGTAATAATGTTGAATGAAGTGCTTCAAAAAAATTCAATGCTTTCTAAAAACAATTCAAGTAAAAAAGGTGCTAAATCTTGATTAGTATAGAAATTTGCACAAAAGGTAGAAATTTGTTTAGAGTCAGAAGACTCGGTTCCATCAATATTCAAGGAATTAATAGTTAGATTTCTAGAGTTGTTCTTTTCCATCCTAAAGAAATAAGCTGTACTTTGCTCTCCCTGCTCAAGCCATCTTCTTGTAGAGCGAATAAAAGTGCCTTCTGCTCTGTATTTATATATTAAGTCTAACTTAGATTGCAATTAAGCAAGTTCTTGAAATTCTGCCTCTGATAGACCATCCTGAACTTTGTTATGAAAGGATATTATTTTATAAAAAATAGACTCATCCTCTTGCTTTTTAAGTTTATCTAGTTGAGTCCCAAATTTCCTAGCACATTTGCCAATTTCATGTTTAAGAAGTTCCCAATTCAATCCATATTTATTTTTTCGCTTTGAGCCAGTATTATTTAATTAAAAATGAAATTTTAATCTGTAATTGATCATGTTTACGCAATGAGGAATTAAGCTTCCAATAAGATGCCCTGGGTCCTGAGAATATATTGTCTGATGAGAGAGGGGACTGAAAAAGAATAGCCTTATGATCAGTTAGAGGGGAATCTTGTCCTCTATAGTTTCAAACAACAAGTCATTATCACGAGTGACATTATAACCATATATATTAACCAAAATTATAACAATATTATTTATACAAACTACCAATATCAGAAAATGTCCCTTCTTATCGCAAAAGTGATGTAAAACGTCTCCAACAAAACTGTTTTTTAAAATTAAAACTCCAGCTGAATGTTCTGAACCATGAGCGAACCAAATGTCATTGCACCACTGATTTTTCCAAAAAGCATAATCACTAGGAATTGAATGTGATTCTTGAAAAAAAACAAAGTCCATCTTGAACGATTTTGCAAGTAAAAACAAAGCTTTCCGCTTAGTAATGTCTCGAAGTCTCCTGGCGTTGAGTGAAATAACAGAAATAGACAGAGTAAAATCAAAAAAAAAAAAAAAACCTCTTAATATGAAGAGAAAAAAAAAGTTCCTTACTGAAGCTTACCCGATGAAAATGCAAAAGTAATAGCTGACAAAATAACTATATAAGAACATTTACAGCTAACTTCAGTGTTCTGAATAGTGTAACATTAGTTATGTGAACCTCTCTTGATTATTTGTTCAGATCATAAAGGGTTAATTTATGAACCTTCAATGAAAGCTCGGTGGCCCACAAAGTATGCTTTTCTTTCTTGCTTACGAGCGTTTTCCTCAAGATCCTTGGAAAATCGAAGACTTTTCACACGAAGAAACTGATGATTTTGCTGCTCTCCACACGCCATCTCTCATTAACCTTAACTGAATGATGACCGCCCGTGGCCTAGTCGTGTTCATTGGCCTCTTCCAGATACGATGAACAGTGTCAATTTTATAAGGTAGAGACAGACCTCCCTCTGGAAAAGTGGCAACACATATGCGAATAGATTCAGCTCTGATGTTTTCACCTTCTTTTTCTGGTATTTCATGCAGGCGCAAATTTCAACAACGCGAGTAACGCTCCAAATCTGCAATCCTAGACTCGCAGAACTACATCTTTTTTTCCTCAGAGCTCACTTTTGCTTCAATAAGGCCAACCTTCCCCTTAACGTTGTTGAGGTCGGCACATATAATGTCAACAGTTTTTTTTTAGCCCTTCTATTTTCATTGCATTGTCTCCAACCATTTTTTCCAGGGCATCCGATCGGTTATTTATTAGCTGAAAAAGCGTGGAGATCACAAAATTATCATCATCAGCTCTGCCTTTCTTTGATGGCGGTTTATCTGGGCTCCCAGGTAACAGTGAAAGTAAAGGGCTATCTCCATGCTGTGGCCTTCCATAAGGCTAGAAACACATGACGTGAAGCACGCGATGTTTCTCCTCCTTTCCTTTTATCTGCCTCTCAATTCATTTTTAAAGTTGTAAGAGGTAACTTTAAAGTAAGATATTTCTCGTTTAGCTGTTAAAGGTTAATTTGTCAGCAGAGCACTACACAAGTAGACTTAGCAGGACACCATCTTGGATCCTCCTCCTGGGAATCGACTATCACACAGATTAACAGCACTTCGGAAATCTTAGTGATGGTGCAAATACAATCAGGAAAAATAATGTATTGAGAGAAAAAGATCCTAGAACATCATTCTGTTGACTACTACTTTGGCTCACTGAGTTCAACTACTGCAGAACACCCAAGTTATATAAAATCTATGATGAAATTTGTTACTTTTGTGATTGTTACATGCAGTAGTGTTGGTGTTCAGTTGGTGTTTCTGTGTGGAGTGTGCATGTTCTTCCGGCGTTCGCGTGGGTTTCCTCCAGGTGCTCCGGTTTCCCCTACAGTCCAAAGACATGTGGTACAGGTGAATTGGGTAGACTAAATTGTCTGTAGTGTATGAGATTGTGTTTGTATGTTACATGCAGTATATATATAACACATTCACTTTAAGACTTAAAATATTACTTAACAAAATGTGAAGTATAAATTATTGCAATATTTGCATATTATTCAATAACATTAAGTAAAATAATAATAAAATTGTGGAAAATTCCTAGGGGGCTCAGATTCCATAGCCCTACTCATAAGACAAAAAAAAACAAGTCATTGGCATAGAACTAAAATTGTTCTTTGATGATGGGTATTAACTTGAACATTCAAATCATAGTTATAATGTGAATAAACTGTCAGCCAAGTATCAACTTGTTTTATTTGTTAAACGTGAATAGATGAAATGTTGACACATAAAAGCCACACTATGTCTATGAATGAGCACTGAATATTGGCTGGAGGCAGTAGCTGGGTTTTGCAGGAGCTGTCAAGGGTAAACGCAGGTCTATGGAGAAGACGGGCGTGTACTGGCAGGAGACAACACTTCTTAAACCTAAGACTTCACTTCCTCAAATGCTTTATTAAAGAGTCACTACAGCTACGCATGGAGCATATCAGTGTCTTTTAGACATTATATTAGTCCTGTTCAGGATGACATCAAGACTAAGTGAGAGAAATGGACAAGTTGGTAAAGAGAAGAAGTGCAAACAAAGAGCCCAAGGTAAGGACATCGTTATTTGCAAGTACAATTTTTATTAATAATGATAATTTTGGGTGGATGTTTTAATTATTTGCCATTATTATTATTATTTTAGGTTTAAATAATATTAAGAATATTTTCTATACTACAAACTTGTTCTATTATGATAACATAATCAATGTTTTTATTCATCTCTATATATATATATATATATATATATATATATATATATATATAGTAGTAGTATTTTATGCATGACAAGTATAATGTAATAAAAGAGTAAGCAAAGGAAATTTTTAAATACAATGAATATGCATGGTATTATTTTCCTTAAGACATACTGTACTTCCTCATTTAGTTCACTTAGTGCATGACTCTCAAATGATACTAAACCTGCTTATACCTGTTTTTGCCTGCGCTAAACTATGTTTTGCCGAAATGGCAGCATGTCAGTCATTCACAGCACCTGTGTTTGTTTATTCATGCTCTTAACCAGAGTTTGATTTCTACATTTACAGATGAGAGACATGCAGTCCAAGAGAGAACTTTTACCAAGTGGATAAACATGCATTTGAAGAGTGTGAGACATATTGTTTCTCTCTGCTTAGCCAATCAATGTATTTACCTTTTAGCAAGCTACACAATGCGATTCTCATTAATTATACCATGGTATTTGCCATAAGTAAGCCTAATAAAAGGATGGTTCGTGTAAAAATATCCACTTAATTTTTCACCCGCAGGCCATCCATTGGCTTCAGTAAAACATTAAAGAAGATATTTAGCTTAAACCATGGCCATCAACGACTGTGTTGAATGTAAAGCAATTTTCTTTTTCAAAGTTTGTGAAAAAAGTAATTTAAAGAGATGGAAAATGGAATTTATGTTATCATTTACGCATTCTCCATTGGTTACAAACCAGTTAAAATGTCATTTTTCTGTTAGGCTAAAAAAAAAGAGATATGTTAAACATTAAAAACATGTAACCATTGACTTCTATAGTATTTGTTTATTCAATTTAGTTAATGGGATCGCTACAATTTTATATTACACCCCTTTAAAATTTGCACATCGATGGATTTGATCTTCAGTGTTTGGAGTTTCAGCAGTGAAATCTAAACCACTAAACTGAACTAAACCTCAACTCAAAACTGGACTGACACAGTTTCAATTTACTAGAACTTCAAGCTGCTTTGACATTTTAAAAGCGCTTTAGAAATAAACAGTAATTGTATTTAATTGAATTATGCTCCCTATGTTACACCATGAAGGTGTTAGAGCAGCTGACTGTAGTATTGATATCCTGGTAACCAACATTAAACAAGACATGCACAATGAAGACAGCTGATCAGTCATGTGAGTGTAATGCCTGCTGTCACAGTATATTCAACAAATGCTTTACCATCTGCCACTATTTGCATTTTTTGCAGTCCAAAACCACCTCAAGCAAGCATTAAATGTTTTTATGGGCAATTAATGGATTTTTATTCGAAATTTGGCATTTACATAACTCATTTCTCATGTGAGAATTTAAAAAGTACATTAACACAGGGTGTTGGAAACCCAGCTAGTGATTTTTAAAATCCAAGTGAATAGTTTGACACTCTGAGAGTCAAAATACTACTACTACTACTACTACCACTAATAATAATAATAAAATACAGGCAACACAAAATAAATACCAATGCTTTTATATATGAAGTAAAAATCATTTCTGTTAAATTTTTACAGCATTATTACTTCCGACAGGAAGCTTCTGCTTTGGACTGTCATAAACACAATGTTTGCTGTGGCTTTAAATTACCATTGCTGTAGCAATGCAAACAGAGGAAACACTTGATAGAATCACTTTTTTATTTAAACATTATCAGCCAATCATTGAACACTTAAAGAAGCAGATAACAAAACTAATGCAAATACTGGGTTTTGGAATAGGCACTGGTGGGGTTTGACACTACAATAAACTTACAGCTTTATATTGTATTAGTATTTGTCTCATATGTCACAGAACAGACTGTTTACAAACATATTAAATTGTAATTTTCCTTTCCCGCCAAATAAATCAATAAAATTCTAATATTAAAATAAACTCATTATTACATTTTTAGACAACTTATGAAGTTGAGGCATGTCTTATTTAGATTTTTTTGTTGCACACTGTTTACACATTGGAAATATAAATAGACTGTAGCACCTTTATGTCTTTCTCTGTGTTGTAGTGTGAGCCACCATTACAAGTCCACCACTTATTTACTGATATTCAAGATGGAAAGGTTCTCATGGCCCTTCTCGAAGAACTGTCAGGCTGTAATTTGGTTAGTCATCACATATTTAACTGAACATTTACACACACTTTTCTCACTAAGTGATGTTGTACATTGATGTGACTTTCCTAAACACATAAAAATTGTTTAATTATTCTTTTTTTTTTTTTTGTATGTTTTTTAGCTTGATAAATTCAGGCCATTTCCACATCGGATCTTCAGACTAAACAATATTTCTAAAGTCTTGAACTTCCTTAAGGACAGAAATGTAAGTTTTGATTTTTGAATAAAGTTTGTCGGCTATAAATTGTAGTATGTAACTCCTCACATGACATATAGGGGGAAATATATTGTAGAAATTTTCCCAATACTGTTTTAAATAAGGAAAGATTCCAATAGTTAACTATTGAAATACATGAATAAAACTAAACCATTTGTGTTGTGGGAACAAATTTATCATATACAGTAGTGACAGTATATTTTACCCCCATGTTTAAACATAAATTTAACATTATTTTCACACAGATAAGTCTTGTAAATATTGAGGCTGATGATATTGCCGATGGCAGCCCTTCAGCTGTTCTCAGGCTAATCTGGAACATCATTGTTTACTATCAGGTAAATCACACTAAGGTTGTGTAATGGTATTGAAAGAATCCATTGTTCTTGTGAGTGAGCATTTAATCTTGTGAGTTAAATCATTTCCTCATTCGTAGATTAAACAGGTCACAAGAAGCCTTGAGAAGTCCCCCTCCACCTTCAGCCTGCTGTCATTACCATGTGACAGTGATTCTTCAGGTCGTAGTTCTCCAGCATCACCCGGAGATGACATTTTTGGCACTTTACCCTCAAAAGGCAAAAAGTCATTAAAAAATCTCAAGTACCGTGGGACAGCTATAAAGACTCTCCTGAGCTGGGCTCAAAACTGCACGGCAAAGTAAGGCAATTAATTTACTGAAGCACAACATGATTTGAGTGTGTGTTTCTTATTACAATGGGTCCAATTTACTTTAATATATTTGACAAAAAAAAACTAAAATCTTGTCTTTTGAACAAAGTAATTTAAGCCCTTGTGCTGATTCAAACCATATTTCGTGAAATGCAAAGGAGAATGATTGATTACCCTTTACCATTAAGGGATAGTTCTCCCCCAAATAAAAGATTTTTAATTTTTTTGCTATTTACTCTCCCTCAAGTGGATCCAAATATTTATACATTTCTTTATTCTGCTAAACACACAAGAAAGTATTTTTAATAAAACTAAAAACCTGTAAACATTGACTTCGATATAGGAGTCGGAAAAAATAATACTATAGAAGCCGATGTTTTTACAGTAGCTTACTTCAAAATATGTTTGTTTGTGTTTACAAAAAAAAAAAAAAAAAGAAAGTCAAACACGTTTTAAATAAATGAATCAAGGATCAATAAACAGCCTTTCTTTGTGGACCATCCTTTTGGAATATTGAATGGATGGTATAATGTTTTCAAAATTCAAAAAGAAGCAGAGTCACTGTTATCTTAAAACAGTTGATTTTCCCCGTTTGATAATTCCTTTTGAGACCAGGTTTCTGTTTTTACCAATAATCACCTTTCCCAGTGAGATAAAACTGAGGACCAGGAGAGAGTGAATTAAAAATAAAGACCCCATTGTCGTGATCTAATTGTACAGTGCATCTAGAAAGTATTCATATCATTTCACTTTTACCACTTTTTTATGTTACAACCTTATTCCAGAATGGAATAAATTAAATTATTATTTCTTATTTATTATTATTTATTTTTAAATTTATTAAAAATAAAAAAGCTGAGAAATCACATCTACTTAAGTTTCCACAACCTTTGCTCAACCTTTGGCAGCAATTACAGCCTTAAGTCTTATTTGAATATGAAGCCACAAGCTTGGTGCACATGTCTTTGGGAATTTTTGCTCATTCCTCTTTGCACTACTTCTCAAGCTCTATTAGGTTGGATGGGAAGCGGCAGTGTACAGCCGTTTTCAGGTCTCTCCAGAGATGTTTAATATGATTTAGGTCTGGGCTCTGGCTGGGCCACTCAAGGGCATTCACCGAGTTGTTGTGAAGACACTCCATTGATATTTTGGCTGTGCTTTGGGTCATTGTCCTGTTGGAAGATGAACCGTCGCCCCAGTCTGAGATCAAGAGCACTCTGAAGCAGGTTTTCATTCAGGATGTCTCTGTACATTGCTGCATTCATCTTTCCCTCTATACTAACTAGTCTTCCAGTTCCTGCTGCAGAAAAACATTACGACAGCATGATCCAGCCACCACCATGCTTCACTGTAGGGATGGTATTAGCCTGGTGATGATGCCTGTTTTTTTCCTAACGCAATGCCTGCCATTTACACCATAGAATTCAAATTTAGTCTCATCAGACAAGGGAATTTAGTTTCTTTTGGTCTGAGAATCCTTCAGATGCCTTTTGGCAAATTCCCTACTAAAGATTGGCTTCCATCTGGCCACTCTACCATACAGGCCTGATTGGTGGATTGCTGAACAGATGGTTGTCCTTCTGTAAGGTTCTCCTCTCTTCTCAGAAGAACAGTGGAGCTCAGACACAGTGACCATCGGGTTATTGATCACCTCTCTGACCTAAGGTCCTTCTCCCCTGATCACTCACCTTATATGGCCAGCCAGCTCTACCCCTTCAGACCTGAATTATGTTCCAAATTTCAGAAAAATGTAAAACTATATTTTCACAGTTCTTGAGGCTCCCATTAATGAGATCAAATTATTATAAAAAAAAAAAAAAAATCTTTAGGTGTATTTTTTTTTTTTTGTCCATTGTAGTGGATATCCGGTCAAAACATTTGTTCTTCCCTAACATTATATTATCATAAAAAAATAATAATAATAAATAAAAAAAATAATAACACAAAAAAAAGTTAGTATACACTTGAAGTTTATTTTCAAGGTCACAAACATCAACAATGTAACGTTTTCACTTTAATTTCTTGGGTTTATTTTTAGATTGCACATTGTTTATAACAAACTAAACTTCTTTAGCATCAATCAATTCAGTCATGTTAGACATGCACACATTTTCTCTTTTTATGTCACAAACTAAACAGTATAACATTTCAACTTCAATTTTAGGGTTTTTTACTTCCTAAATTGCACATTTGTTTCCGAACTGAACATCTTGCGATTAAATCAAGTGGTCATGTTAGAGTCATTTTCGGTGTGCATCTTTTAAACAATTTCCCAGTGACACAAATGTGTTTTCCCAGAACAACCTGGCAGTTTGCATCTTATTACCTTTTTTTCCCATCATAATTTGGCATGTGGTTGACCATATCTTTTTTGACTTCAGGAACTTGCCGACGTTCCATTGCATCTCTTTTTTTTCTCTAGTTGCATTATGGGGAGTAGGGTCGGTAGTGGTGGTGTCAGAATTGCTTGGTCTTTCTCGTTTTCTTGAAACATGCAGCTTCCCAGCACACACAAGTACTTCAGCCACATTCATTTTGAAATCAAGAAGATCCATGATTTTCTGTGGCTGAGTTCCCTTGCTTTCTTGTTCTCTGCGATACTCAAGCCAACTGTTCACCACAGCAAAATCAAAGGCATGAGAAATCATGCGCAGTGGCCATTTGCGAGATCTGATTTCAATCTTGTAATGGCTGATTAGTTGATCAAGCTTGTCCATCCCTCCTATGGCCTTTTTGTATATCTTCACAGCCTCTGGAGGCTTGACCTTCAGATACTGCTTCTCTTTTTGATCCCACCTCTGAACTTCATCTTCTTCTCCAACACCAACAAAGTTGGAAGCCAGCACAAGAGCGATCATCAAACCACTTCACCAGAACCACCTTTCCATCTCTACTTTGAACTTCATTTTGGTTTCCCCACTCTTTCTTTGACATTTCCTTGTCTGTCTTTATTGGAGGATTTGCAAAACAACAAATCCTTGCTGTTCCAGCAACATGGATTTTCTTTTCTGCAAGAACTTCAAGGGCATTGTAAGTTGTGAAGTAATTGTCAAAATAGATCTTATGGTTGTGAACCTTGATTCTCTGGCACAAGTGGGTGACAACAGAAGCTCCATGGCCAAAAACCTTTTTGCTTTGCTCAGAAAGCTCTGTTGTGGCACCTTGGTAGATGAGGAAATCATAAGCAAGCCCACTTTTGCCACAATGGAAATACAACTTCACTCCCCATGGTGTAGGTTTCCCTTTGACATACACAATCCTGAAAGGCACAATCTGCTCATCAACAAAAAGCTCTTCCCCCAGTTGTAGCTGCAGACAGCGTTTCCTTATGGACTCATAGAGTGGTCTGACCTCAAAGAACAACATGCAGGTTGAAGCGGAGTTGAAAAAAATCGATCTCGAGACATGGTATCCTTGAAAATTCCCATATTGATTCTGGAGGACCAGTACATTCTCACTCTAGGAATACCAAGAACACCCATCGCCATATGTAGGCCAACAAGGACTTCAATCTCAGAAGCTGAGGCATGTTTGTAACCCATGACTGCCTTGTCACGGGTTATATATTGGTCATTGTGCTAATCAGCTTAAACATCTCACTTGGAACATACTGCTTGAAGTAGCCATATGGTGGTAGTGGCTCAGGAGGGTCAGCGGAAGGACTTTCCCATGTAGTCTGTACTGGGGTGAAGGGGGTGTGACACTAATGAATATCACTTTTTTTTGTGACATTACAAAGTAATGGTTCTACATTTGCGTCAAGGTCATGATCTTCTCTGTCTTCTCGATCCTGACTTTCCTCTGCCTCAACCTCAATTTTCTCACCCTACCTCTGGTAACAGTGACTCATCTCTGTCTTGCCCTGAAATTGTTAGCAGAAACTGCCCCTTACAAAACAACATAAATATTTTATATTCTAATTCATATTGATATAATATTATAAAACCATATATGCAGATTTATGGTATAGCAGCACTCAATTAATTGAGAAGCATTTAATTGTAATAAAAGACTTAACTAATTAATTAACTAACTATCCCTAATCCTACACTTACCAACTGTTGGAGATCTATCAACTGTATCTCCATCTTCCTCATCACTCCACATATTGTCCACATCTGAGACATTTCCATCTGCTATACATTCAAGGACTTCAAGAACTGTGTACTCTGCATATGAAATTGTTTCAAAAAAAAAAAAAAAAAATAGTGCATTGATATACATTTTGAATATAAAAAGCTCAATTAGCATTGCTGGAGATTTAATTTTAAAAACAGACCTTTAAACCCACTGTGCATCGTAATGGACAAACATATTTTAAAAAAATCCTGATCTAAAGCTTGCAATTCTACAATCGATTTGTAACTTTAATTAGTAAGTTAAATCCCTCTTATTTACATGCAATCTATGAAATATCTGCAAAAAGTGCTGCCATGCTGCTTTTTAGTTCAGTGGATTTTTTTTTCAAATTACGTCATCCAGAGCCGTACTGCCATTTGATTGGATGATAAATGTCCACTCTCAGGGACACTTTCAGGTCTTTTATTTTTAATAAATTTGCAACAATTTCAAAAGCTTTTTTGACATTGTTATTATGGGTTATTGTGTGTAGAATATTGAGGAAGTAAATTAATTTAATCCATTTTGGAATAAGGCTGTAACATAAAAAATGTGGAACAAAATTGAAGCACCATGAATAATTTCCAGATGCACTGTTTTTAATATGGTGTTTCTGAAATGCTTAAAGACAAATAGTAACATCACTACATACAAATTCACAAAAGTTACCAATTCCATCATGGATTTTTTATAATTTGGGTGTTTTGCACTAGTTGAACTCAACTCAAAGCCAAAGTAGAAGTCAACCGAATAGTGTTGTAGGAACTTTTTCTCTCAATACATAAATTTTCCTGGTTGCATGTGCACCGTCACTAAGATTTCCAAAGTGCTGCTAATCTGTGTGATAGTACCATCAAGCATGATGTTCAACAAAATCTACAACTGGAGTAAGGTTTTGTGGTAATGGCGATGAGATTCCTAAAATTAGTTTATGTGATTGAAAAAAAAGTAAAAAGGAGAGCTAAGAGACAAAATCTTTTATGGCAACTTGTAGTCCTTTACAAAGGCTGAGGAAAAAAAAAAAAAAACTCAAAGACAACCACTTAATGCCATTTTCTTTCTCTATGTGTGTTTTTTTGAAACACTAAAACACTTGTACTAAACTGCAGGTGTAGGGGTTAAAGTTGGGACTCGGAAGCAGGGACTAATTAGTTTCTCCAAAATTTCCTGAGTTGAGAAAACCCATGTTGCTACCCAGCTAAGAGTTTTAGATTCTATAATGTTTCTGTATTGCTTTCATTGCTTCTGTATAGCACTATCGACTCCCAGCAAGAAGGTCATTGGTTCGAGTTCTGTCTGGGCCAGTTGGCATCTCTGTGTGGAGTTTGCATGTTCTTTTCGTGTTCACGTAGGTTTCCTCTGAAAGCTCCGGTTTCCCCCACAGTCTAATTTAATTATCCGACAATGAAACGACTAATCTAAATTGCCCGTATTGTGTGAATGAGTGTGTATGAATGTTTTCCAATACCTGGTTGAGGCTGGAAGGGCTTCTACTAAGTAACACATTTGAAAAAATAGTTGGAGGCAGTTCATTCTGCTGTGGTGACCTCTGAAATATAGACTAAGCCGAAGGAAAATGAACGAATGAATGAATGAATGAATGAATGAATAGTAACGTAATATTATTTTTACTTTTGGGATATCTTTGTTTTTAATTGCCAACCATGATTTATTTATCTTTGCTTGAGTTTTTTTTTCTACCTCTTCTTTCAGATATGGAGTAGAAATTCGTGATTTCGGTAAAAGCTGGAGAAGCGGATTAGCATTTGTGGCTCTTGTGAAATTCTTCTGTCCTGAATTTGTGCACATGAGGAAAGCCTTGTCCTCTGAGCCCCGACTAAATATGGAGACAGCCTTCAGAGCAGCGCAGGAGTGGCTGGGGATCCCTCCGCTGCTGAATCCAGATGGTACACACACACACACACACACACGCACACACACACACACACACACACACACACAGACAAATTGTTCCTTTCCTTCTGAAGAGTAGCTGTGCATTGTTTGTGCCCTCTAGGGGAACATACTTAATTGCTGCATGACCTGCTTTCACACTTCAAAAATAAACAATGCAATGAAAACACATGAGCAGGCATCACATTTTGCTGCAGAGTGATTGTGCTAACAGTTTTATTTCCTGCAAATTTGATGTCAGCGTTGTTTTTCTTTTTCTTTTTTATACTTTTTATTGTTTTTTATACCTGACAGTTATGGCAAACATACATAATTGATTCTTTAAAGGACACATATTTTACACCTTTTTAAAGAATTAATATTAATTTTATAGTTCAATTTAAAACACAATTCATATTTTTTTTATTATAATGTGTTAAAAAGTGTCATTTTGGGGGCGTGTATACAGGGCGCTGTTGTAGGGGTGTGTTGCTTTACATGAAAATTAGTTTTGCCTTTCCACCCAGCTTAACAAGGGGGTAAGGCTTGGCGATATGGGCAAAAAATCATACCCTGGTATTTTTAGTAAGAATGATGGTATACGTAAATATATATATATATATATATATATATATATATATATATATATATATATATATATATATATATATATATATATATATATATATAATCTTTGATAAATAAATACAGTAGAGGTTTTTTTTTCCTGCTTAACACTATACACAGCACTACTGTGCTATTGTGCAAATAATAAAACATAACCATAGAAAACAGTTACATTGTCAGAGCAAAAAAGGAACACGCTTAAATAGTAACACAATAAAATGTATTGTAGGATAGAAAAAAACGACATTGAATGTAAATTTGACACAGTCTTATGTTACAATTACAGTGTTGTTATTAGTAATCCTGTATACCACAGTTGTGTGATTTATAAACAACAATTAAATTAGCTGTATTTGTTTTTTTAGTTACACATTTACATGCATGTATTGTGCACAGTTATTAAACAGTGCACATATCGACTATTACTAAAGATAAGTCTTTCATGCCATGCAAAAAAATCCTACACTTTCTTTTGCTTTGACTAAACTTGTTTTACTAAATAATAAATAAGGAGATGGAAATGAATAGACTATAGATATGAGAAAAAACGAAATTGTTTCAAAGTACTATGATGAAATGCCGGTTCAGCATATACAGTTAAGGTCAGAATTATTAGCCCCCTTTGATTTTTTTTTTTTCTTTTTAAATATTTCTCAAAGAATGTTTAACAGAGCAAGGAAATTTTCACTGTATGTCTGATAATATTTTTTCTTCTGAAGAAAGTCTTATTTGTTTTATTTTTTTAAACACAATTTTAAGGACAAAATTATTAGCCCCTTTAAGCTATTTTTTAATCCGACTGCCTACAGAACAAACCATTGTTAAACAACAACTTGCCTAATTACTCTACCTGTCCAGTTAACCTAATTAGTTAAGCCTTTAAATGTCACTTCATGCTGTATAGAAGTGTCTTAAAAATATCTAGTACAATATTATTTACTGTCATTATGGCAAAGACAAAATAAACCAGTTATTAGAAATAAGAATTAAAACTATTATGTTTAGAAATGTGTTTAAAAAAATATTCTCTTCTTTAAACAGAAAAAAAAAAACAATAATAAACAGGTGGCCTAATAATTCAGGGGGACTAATAATTCTGACTTCAACTGTAAATGTAAATAGTCATTTTAACAGAGCAGAACGTAGAGCTAAATGTGTTAAAACGTAAATGTAAAGAAGTGACCGTCATGTACAGTAATAAATACTGAACTAATAATCAGTAAATATAATGTGGTTTCACTTTGAAATGTTGTATAAAGTCGTCCCATTTTGGCGTTTTAATTCTTTTGAACACATTCAGGTGCTGCTTGTCAGTTTGAGAAGGCTTCTATGTTTGTTCTTGCTGTTAATTGCAGAAGAAATTATCGAGAAAAGGTTTCTGATAAGCCACTGTGACAGCTGCAGGCACTGTGTGACATGTGTGCACGCAAGGAGGAGTCAGATTTCGATACAGCACCGGCACTGCATGTTCCACCATGTTGCGTCAGTGATGGGTTGTTCTTGAATGATTCATTCATTTTGAACAAATCTTTTGTATATCTCATAGAGTAAATTATTCATTTGTGCATGCGCACATTTGTGCAAGTAGAGCTCGCTAGCTACCTATCAATATGAACGATATTGGATAATCCCGCATTGCATTGGGAAATCATAATGATATATCCCCAGAACTTGATACACCGCCCAGTCTTCAAGGGGGCAGAGCCAAGAGCTCCCCCACTTTGTGTATGGCAACAGTCAGGCAGACAGAGAGAAGCAACATGAGTGAGAGGACCAGCATTCAGCCGTACATGTACGACTCGGACAAAGACCAAGCAGAGACTAGTGTTGAGGAAACAATATTCCTAATGTGCCAGAATGTGTCAGAGTGGTAGTTACAAAATCATTTGTGTCTGTGTGTAGTTTTACAGCCGCTATGTAACTACACATGCATCATCCATAAAGGCATTTAATGATTAACCGGTTTCACTATTAACTGCGCTTTGATCCATCACAGTTATTCAATCATAAAGGCTTCTCAACACCGTGTTTCTGCATGGAACAAAACTGCGGCAACTAAACAAAGTTATGCCAACTGTGTCTGTGTGCTAGCTTAAAGTTCCGAGCTTGTACACCGAGACTAACCACGCAAACTGGATTAACTTTGACTGAGGCTATAACTAAGGCAAGTTCTTTATTTCCAATGGAGGTACGTGAACGCGAGACAACGTGCTCACACTTTCCTGCTGCACCTAGTTGAGATGAGTTGAGGGAGCTTCTGTGACTGGGAAAGGCAAACAGCTGAAGTTTAAGGAAGATGCAATGAACAGTGCAAAGGTTTGCAAACCCACTTAAAGTTACAAACAATGGCACAGATGCGAATGATCATGTGGTGAATGTTTATCCGCCAGCCGAGATCAATCGAGTGCTTTTAGAGAGTGCTAAAAGAATTGGTGGATCAGCAGTTTTTAATGGCCCAAATCTGATAGGTTGCGTTCACTTCGTGTTCAGCGCAAATGGCTGCTAAATGTAAAATTTCTTTTGCTCATTCGCAGGAAGACGATGTAGGCTCTTGTATTGAGCCCATTGAGGCTTACACCCAAAAATAGAGCAAAGGTGTTTCTTTAGTGACACCGCTTTGACTCACACGCTGAAAATGGCAGACGTGAAACAACAAACTGAGGATGTGGTGATGTGCGCCTGTCAATCAATATTGGTGGGCAGGGGGACCGCACTCCAACGTCAAGTTGCGGTCAGTCTCAAAACCGCTCCAGTTGGTCCACCGTTTTTATGTTGTTATATTGAAAAACAAAGGACTAGGTGTGTTTATATCACCACAATATAACAGCCTATACATTATAACTACACAAGAGTCTGTCAAAACAGCTTGAGAAGTAAATTGTTTATCATAGGTGCCCTTTAATGTTTAAAAAAACAAAAACAAAACTGGACCTCCAGCTAGTGTGTTTGATTGATTTGACTTGATAATTGTTTTCTTTTTGCAGATGTGGCAGTCCATTCACCAGATGAGCAGTCCATCATCACCTATATCGCCCAGTTTCTTGAATGTTGTCCAGGCCATGATGAGGTGAGGATATCTTTCCACTCATAGGCTGAGTAGAGTAGTAAAGAGTATCAGTATTCTTTTATAAAGTCAAATGTTTGTGAGCCAAAATCCTCTTTGCTGTCATAAATGAAGTATAAACAATGGATTTAACTTAGTAGTAACAAGTTTTAGTTTTTTTGTTTGTTTACTAAAATATTTTAAATTTCATTTTGAATATTAGATTAATTTTCTTACCTTATTGGCAGAATATTTAATTTAATTATTATTTAACTTAATTAAAAACTCACTTATTATTGACGTATTATTTATGAGAACAAGATTTTTTTTTTTACTTGTCCAGAAAATGCTTCTTGATTTAAGAATGTTTAGACAATTGGACTAGAAACAAGATAAAGACTACATTCATTCTCTTTTCGTCCTAGTCCCTTTATTAATCTGGGGTCGCTAAAGCGGAATAAACCACCAACTTACCCAGCATATGTTTTACACAGCGGATGTCCTTACAGCAGCAACCCATCTCTGGGAAACATCCATGACACTCATTTACTCTCATACAAAAGATTAATTTTCCTCATAATTCCTGCAGCACGTGGACTTTATGATTGTATATGAGCGTCAAAATTGTCTGTTCTGCAAAATATTTGACTGCGTGTCACTGCATGTCAAACGACTTAAACGATATAATTAAAGAAATTTTCACTGTGCTGAGCGAGGGAGCTTCTGACCAGCGCATCATCGATGACGTTAGCGTGCCCAGGCCTGAATGTAATGTGAGTGCGGGCCGCCGGGGGACCAGAGGGGGGAAAAGCGTGCTTTGGCTAGGTTCAAGTCAACTGTACATAGTGTGAGTACACCCTAGTTTGCTGTATGACCAGCTTTCACGCTTCAAATGCAGAAGCGAACATTACAAATATTTAGTTTTGCTGTTTGCTCAAACTAGCTAATTTAAAAGGAGCTGAAACAAGACAGTTCTTGAGATTTTTGCGACAACTTAATTGTTTTAAGATCAATCCACTTAATTTAAAAAAAAATATATATTAGGTTAACGTAATTCCATCATGCTGTCCCAATACAAATTAATTGGTCAGACTTACCAAACTTACCAAAATAAACTTTTTCAGTGGTTTAACTTGCACGGATAAATAGTTGACCTAAAGAATAACAATGTGCAAAATAAACATTGCACTATGTACTGTTTTGCATCTGAACAACTCTGGTTTGCACTCCTTGCCATGAACCTAATTGTATTGTTTACAAATTTGTTTTTTTACTCATAATTTTAGATTTTAATAAATGTGTAATTGTATTTATTGTAATTTCTTTTTAAAATTCTACATTTTTGTAATAATATTACATACATGTCAACACTCCTATTTTTCCAGAGATTCTCCCGCATTTTGCATTCTATCATCCTGTAAAGGTATTTTCCCACATTTCTCCCATATTTTTAATCTTTCTTTGAAGGGTGGCAAAATACTTAAAGGGTCACGAAACACCAAAACACATTTTTTGAGCTGTATAACAGTCGTATATGTGTCCCACACTGCTAAAAACACTATTAGGACACCTATATTTCACTAAAAAGTGTAAATTGGTTGTTTTTGCGTTATTTCAAGCAAATTCGTACTTCCGGTTTGAAACAAATTTTTGAAGCTGCGTCACGGCCATGACATAATAGCCTGTATTCCAGCGTGCAGACTGGGCGTCTGTGCCAGAGTGTGTCTTATTACGTCTTACAGTGTGCCACATTAATGCATGAGTAAGGCTTGGTTCAAACCAATCAGCGTGCTCTATTGTTCAACTTTATTAATATTTATTACAGTCACAGTGTTTAGACGACAGACACACCACGTTGTATTGGCAAAACAAGCGTGAAGTGTTGCATTTATAGTTTGCTGCAGTTAAGTTTCGTTTTCATTTTCTCTCTGTGAGAGAAATCTGGAGTCACGTGTGGATTGACAGTGTACGCGACGCTCGACAACAATAACTTACGTGTCTAAGGAGGAACTTTGTTTACCTGAGAGCTGTTCTTATCTGCAAATGCTGAGATCCGGATTCGCTTGTAGTCTCCTCTTAATAAAGACGCGGCTCTAGTTGCTGGTGATTGTCCTGTCTCTACAGATTTGGTAAGTGAGCGACCAGTGGTCTTTGTTTATTCAGTTTGTTCGTATCGAACTAACTATTGCACCGAGTGTAAACATGTTAGCACTACAACCAAACTTTAACCTTGTGTAGGGTGTTCACCGCATTTAGTGACCGGAAAAACAAACGCGGCTTTCTGATGCTATCTGTTGTGTGCATCTAAGTTTCCGGGAAATGCAGAGGTTTTTTTCTCTCATTCGCCGTGCGGTATCAAACATTGCATGAAAAATACAAGCTTAGAGCAGTTCCTCGAATCAAATATTTCGTTTGTCGCGAGGGGCATAAATGAATTCCCTGAATGAAAGAGCCAAACTGCAGTTAAAGTCCACCATTTAGTAATTTGGCAAATAATTTGACTACAGATGTCCATGTAGGTTAAACACCATCACTTTCTCCTGTGTGTCTGTGTGTGTATTTTGACTCTGAAACTCGCGCGTGCCCAAATAGACACTCCCACACCATCCCACTTTTCTTCCTCCGACACTCCCCCCTAAACAGAGCTGGACACGCCCACTTTACTGACTTTTTCCCAAAGTAGAGGTGTGAAAACACCCTGCTGAAACGAGGGGGTTTCATGGCTCTTTAAAAGAGCCGATACTCTCTATATGCAACTCATACCACCAATCCTCCCTATATGCAACTCATACCAGGGGATGGCCCTTGCTCTTAAATGTGAAATTGTTCCGCACTTCCATGTTATTTAAGCATGAAAACTCTTTAAAATAACTATAAAAAACATCTGGATTGCTTTTCTTTCCATTACAGGCACTGTTGCCCCTCCCAGGGCTGGATTAACCAATGAGCCTTATGAACACAGGCCCAAGGGCCCATGTGCACTTAAGGCCCCCTGCGAGGGAAATTTCGGAGTGCCTTTTTAGGCTAAGTGCAAATCGAGCACCTAGTTGGAATAAGCTATTCACGGTTTATGCCCATCAATGCCTGATTGACAGAGACAGCATGTGTACAGAGCGAAGTAGAAATACAGCGTGAGTGGCGTACCTCGTAAAGTGAACAGCATCATTTTTTGACGCGTTTAATCATCCATTCAGTTCAAATCCACCATCTGCTAAACTCGTGCAACTTTTTCTCTCCACATTACATATCAGATTGGAAATATATTTATTTTAATAGGAAAGAAACATAAACAAAAATGCAAATGTAATATAAAGTCACAAGTGCCTCATTGGTATTTTATAATGTTAAACCTTAGCCTATTTCATATGTGTAACAGCATCTAAATAGTGAATATAGTCTATAAACAGTTATTCCATCTGGTGTTAATTGTTAGCAACATTAGGTTTATAATCAAGTTGATCTATGCTGTTTGCCTACTCTTCATCACAAGGAGAGTAGAGAAAATACAGGGAGAAGAGGATAGCGACAGTAAATCATTAATAAGTGTGTGTATTATAAAAGACTCAGATTCATAGAACTAGATTGGAGAGGCATTGTGTGTTATATGCCATGCCAATAATATGATATTCTTAAAACAGTCAGTTCATGTAGTGGTGCGTGATTGTCAGACGCGCTCTATAGTGATAAATAAGATGCTGTTTCCCAAACGGATTCTGTACAGGCGAGTTGAAGTAGAGAGAAAGTGGAAACTCAGGGTTTTGAGTGGGTGAACAGACATATACACATAATAATATGTAAACATTTTCTTGTAAATACAACAAATTTAGTCTTAAATGAGCATAACATTTTTGGAAAGCAATCGATTGCTTTCATTATATGTGTGTGCATTTTTAAAGTGACACCGCTGTTATTTTATGTAGTCAAATGAAAAAATCTAAATCAGAGATTCATTCACTGCCCTTCAATCAGAATGTTTAAGTTATACAGTTAAGAAAAGGTTAATGAGATTTGATAACTTGATTCAATTTCTTTATAATAGTTATTCATTTAAATAGGCTAAACTTTAATTTATTGTCTGCATTTTGTAATGTAAGCTATTGATTCTATTCTTTCTTATTAATACAAAAAAAAAAAAAAAACTATAACTATTGTTGACAGGTATGATATAAATATGCATTTTATATCGTAGCCTCTTGCAATTAACTAATTTCATGGTTTTAATATGCTTTTGCGATTTGATTTCGAATAACTGCACAGCCATAAAGCTGACTTTAACTTTAATTGTAAATTTGATCTCTTATATATATATATATATATATATATATATATATATATATATATATATATATATATATGAAGGCATAGAAGTTGTATGCCTTTTAAGCATATTAAGGATCTTACGCCAGTAATGTATTGTAATTAACGAGTTTTGGTGCTTGTTCAAACTAAGTGAAGTTTATTTAAAAAGAAATTTGGAGAGAATTTCAAATGATTGTTCACAGCTTTTCCAACTTTAGCTAATGACTAATTAACCTATCAGAGGATCCTTAACTCATTATAAATAATATAAATAACCAGACTTTTCTCATCTCATCTTTTCTCATCTCTTTGTCTTGAAGAACCACCCCCCCCCCCCCCCCCCAACTCTACTCTTCCTCCTTTCAAATGGGCGACACAGTGGCTAGTGATTAGCGCTGTTGTCTCACAGCAAGAATGCCACTGGTTTAATTCCTTTCCAAACCAGGCAACATTTCTGTCATTTCCTCCCACAGTTCAAAAACAAGCATTCTAAACAATTAATCAAAAATATTTTAGCCAAACTCTGAGTACACCTTTTCAGCATCCATATCTGACACTTAGCCACAATAAGCAGGAGGGGGAGTCATCGAGATCTACCTGAGCTCAAACTCCCCTCTCACCTTGCAACGGGAGGGAGCCCGGGGCTCGAGGATCTCATAAGCTCAGGGCTCTTTCCCGGGACAGCACGCCGAACAAGTTTTATTATCAATCATTAGCGAAGTGTAAACTCTTGAAATTATTTAAAATAAGTTTAAACAACACAATTCTTGCATTTTTTGAGACAACTTAATTATGTTCAATCCACTTTGTATTTATAAGTTAAGTTAACTTAATCGATTTGTGTTGGGACATGAATTGTGTGAAAGCCAGCATTTTTTTTATAGTGTAGCTGATCATCATTAGACTAATTACTGAATTACATTTCTACCTTGAAAATCTGTAGTGATGATACTGAAAATTCTACATATTTTTAATCCTGTGATATTTACTCATTCCCAGGATGCCATGTCAACAGATTCCTCTCGAGGTACGCCAAACTCCACTGAAAGATGGGACAGGGTGTCGACTGATTCTGACAGCTGTGTTTTCCCATCTAATGTCTCCACAGAGGCTTTGAGAGACCTTTATAACCTTTCTGAGACCAGTGAAGAAGAACAAACCTACCATACTGGAGATCAAGAGTCACTTTCAGTCTGTCAAGAAAACATTAGGGATTTAGCAGCCCGTTCTGAATCTTTACTCAATGTGAAGAAAACTTCCACTGGGGGGCAGTGTTGTGATTCTATAGCATGGAGGAAAAGATGGATAGGAAGCCTGGAGGATGATGGGAACTGTTCTGAGGTTTCAAAGGAGGCTGTTTATTCTCTGTCAGTGCTGGATTCAGATGAGGAGGACGCATTTAGCTACATCTTAGAGCTGGACCATAAAGATTCTGGGCTGGAGTCAAATATTGACTTTGGATTAAATACAGTTATGGATTCACAAGCAGTGGAGTTTGATTTAAATGTTGCCAGCATTTTTGAAACTCAAGAAAGTGAAATAAAGTATTGTTGTTGTGAAGCACAGAGGAATCTGAAGGCCACTGATGTATCAGTGAGGTCAGGTGGTGGTAAATGTACAAACAAAATCACTCTGGATCAAGTCAGACCTACTAAGAGTAATATTTTGACTGAAAATAACTGTGACGAAAAGACTTTGCCTGCTTCTGACACTTTGCTGATGAATCAAAATAGTATTGAGAAGATAGAAAATAACTTCAAGTTATACACTGATGAACGCCCAGACTTGAATTGTTCGTTAAAAATGAAGGAGAGTGATTCTGCAGATGCATTTACTCACAGCAATGGTACTGATGATGCATTTGTCCATCTGGATAATTGTGTAGATGAAGACAAACTCAGAGAGGAACTTTTCCTTTGTCCAGTGAAGGAAAATCTGTTGGATAATGACCAGTATGAGCAAAACAATGTTTTGGATCGAAGCGTTTTGGATGGAATAACAGAAGAACCTGCGGTTTCACATGCAAAGAGGTAGTTATTATACTCTACATTATTACCTTGAAATAAGTAGCTTTGTTTAACTAGACTCAATGAATATATGTTCCTCTATCAGAATGTTTGCAAAACTGTTCACACATACATTTCATTTTGCAGTTCAAATCAAACTTAATGGCAGTAAAAAAGCAACAACATTAAATTTTAAAGGGATAGTTAACCCAAAAATATTATTATTGCTGTTGTTGTTTTGATGGAACTATGATCATTCAACGCAAACCATTAAACTATAACTAACATCCATGACTTTGGCATTAAGGTCTTCTAAAGCCAAAGAATGGTTTGAGAAACTGACAATTATTTACAGTATTAAATGTGACACTAAACCACAAAACCTTACAAAAGTCTTATTTTGCATGAGCATTTTTGGCAAAAAATTTGGCAAAAAAATTGAAGTTCCTGTTTCAAAGCTTACAGATAGATGCCTAATTTGTATGTCATTGACACTTTTGGCACTTTTTTGGAGTATTTTCATAAGTTTTGTTTTTCCTGTAAATGATTCAATAAATACCGTACCGTGACATTCATACCGAGGTATTACCGTACCGTGAAATTCTGATACCGTTACATCCCTAATGCTTTATGTTCCAGATTGTCAAGTAGTTGTATGTCAGGCAAATAATTGCCCTTATTTATCCACAGGGCCTTTTTTTTTCTAAGTTGATATTTAGCTGCACCATATTAGTGTTTTGTAACATCTAGCTTTTATGAGGTGAGTTGTTTGCCCAATGCTCAACCCCCAATGTGGAGGACCAGGTCATACACACATACACTACGGACTATTTAGCTTTCCCAATTTATCTACAGCACATGTCTTTTGACTGTGGAGGAAACTAGAGCACCTGGGGGAAACTCACACAAACACAGGGAGAACATGCAAACTCCATTCAGAAATGCCACCTGACCCAGCTGGGGCTTGAACCAGTGACCTTCCTGCAGTGATACCCACTGCACCACCATGTGGCCTTCAATATTGCCCTGCTTTCACGTGACATTTAAATTTGTTTTCCCCCAGAAAATATACACTTGGTCCAAGGTCACAAATATTATCCACAGCTTTGATAGTGGCTTTTGAACGTGTAACAATAATATAAAAAGAAAATAATAATAATAAATAAATAAATGTTATCATTTAGAACAGTTTACCATTATGCTTTATGATGTGTAACGTATTTGAGGCTTGCATCACATAATTACATTTCATACATCAGAACAATGTAATACAACATTCACATTCATTAACATTAATCCGATTTTTAAACTGAACCCGCTTCAAATGCTGCTCATTATGAAAATATTGTGAAATGTGCAAAAAAACTATCTAATATTTTACAGGCTCTTTTTCTAAGTCTGGATTTCTTTTAAATAGCTGGTATGTTTGATTCTGTTTTCCTCTTGTGTGTTTTAGGAAGGAGGGTCTTGACCAAGCTAGTTATGAGGTGCAAGAGCTACACATGCTTCTGTTTCTCTGGATGATTGCCTACTGTGTCCTTATGTATCCTCATCTGGATATCTTCAGTCTACTAAGCCCAAACTGAAAATACAGATCAATACAGACACAAGCAGAGTAGTACAAAGTGCAGTTATGTGTGCCCACACATGTACTTTGTTCATGTATTTTTTTAGTGTTTGTAAGCCAGGACCAGTTTTAAAACAGTGCACTCTGGATTTACAGTTGAATTGCTGGTATTTAATGTAAAGAATGTGGACTTTCAGTATCATTTTGTAAGATAATTCCAAAGCTCTCAATAAATTTTGTTTATTCTTTGAAAAAAAGGCCATGTTACCAGTTTTATTTCACCCTATGTTTTTTTTTTTACAAATAATGACAGTCAAACTTACTTTTAGTAAAAAAAAAAAAATGCACATCTCTTAGAATTAGAAATAAAGTATGTGTTAAGACTTGACCTGCACGTTAGCACCCCATTGGTTCTTTTAACCAAAACAAAACAACAAAATAATAATAATAAACCTATTATGAACCTCACATCTTGGTCAAGAAAATCATATGAGCACAATTTAAGCCTGGTAATGAGCAGAGATTTAAATAAAAAAAAATAAAATAAATAAATAAAAAAGCAGGCTATTGTACAAACAAACTACACCATGATGATAACTTAAGTGACACCATGAATAAGTGCAATGTCATTTTTATGCTTCAGAATGATTCGGTCATGCCCCCAAGGGTTGTGTACAAGGGACAGCATCATGGACAGTTAGTATTTAGTTAAAAAAAAACTGTGAATTTAAATATGAATGACATTGTACTATTTCCTTTTCAGCTTAGTCCCTTTATTAATCCAGGGTCGCCACTGCAGAATGAACCACCAACTTATTCAGCACGTTTTTACGCATGGGATGCCCTTCAAGCCGCAAGCCTGCGTCGCCTTCACTTCTTTTATCATAACATAAAATACTTGTTTGTTTGTGATACTAGTACACTGTAATAATTTACATAATTAAAAAAAGTCATGACAACTTATTGCTTTGACTTAAATTAGAAAGTGTATCTATCAGGTTTGAACTTATTATTATTTTTTTTAGGTTAAACAGATTTTACCTTGATGTTTTAAGTCAGCTTAAAACTTATCTTACAAAATGACTTAGAAATTTAAGCAAGCAACATATTTTTTACTGTTACTTTCATCCATCATAAAAAAATTAATTAGGTTAGACTTTTTCTGTAGGAAAAAGCATAGGAAAAAACAGTTTAGAGGTGTTTTGAGAACAAGTACAAGTGAAAAGCAAAATCCAAAATGGCTTCAGAGAAACTAATACATTTGGTCTTTCAACACAAATACAACTCCCTCTCTCTGCAATCTAAGGATGCGATTGACCAAATATCAATCATATTTCTTTTCATTATTTTTTTTTATTATTATTATTTATTTATTTGTTAAGCTAGGAGAAGACAACAAAATCATCTTCACTACATTTGTAGTACTTTGCAATTATTTTGCAATAGATTAATTAATACGCATCAAACTCGGTGTGCAAGATTTGTGTGCATGATGAATTTTTTTCGGATTTGAATATGAAAAACTACATACAGAAATTGGACTTCAGTGTGCGCAAACGCCTTAAGATTGCAGATATAATAGGAAGCTCTAAAAGTGACATAATGAGTACAAGGGATTTCCTGACCTCAATAATGTATACTGACCCTTTGACATGTATTAGAAAGATTGAGCTATATATATAGAATACATATTGTAACAAAGGTTCTTTGTGTGGGAAGAAGAAGACAGGGTCGGCGTTGAGGTAAGTAACAGATTTCTTTTATTTTCAGTAATGTAATCACTGTAAAGGACAGCTCCCACTGTGTGGCCGTCGCTCAGCTCTCTCTCTCCCGACTGTTCCTCCCGTTCTCCTTAAGACGGGTGTCCCTCCGGTCCAATCACTAGAATAAACAGGTGTTGCTTATTATTTCGGATTGGCCTGCTGATTAGCCGCCGGGCTCTGAGCATGCTCTCCCCCTTTATTGGGTATTCGATCATGCTTACCTCTCCACATACCCCCACCGCCCACCTCAGGCCGGGGAGCCCTCCCCCCCCCCCCCCCCGCCCTGGAGAGGAAGTCGGCTACAGCCATCTGCGCCCCCGCCCCCATTAAAAGGCTGTAATGCTAGATACCAACGGGTGATCCGCGCGTTGGTATCCTTCATACGGTGGAGCCACTGGAGAGGAGCATGATCTGAACAGAGGACGAATTCCCTACCCAGGAGGTAATAGCGAAGAGTAAGAACGGCCCACCTGATCGCCAAACATTCCTTCTCTATGGTGCTGTACTTAGCCTCACTTTTACTTAGCTTGCGGCTAATGTACAGCACCGGCCGTTCCACTCCTGCCACCTCCTGGGAGAGAACCGCCCCCAGACCCCGATCGGACGCGTCCGTCTGTAAAATAAAGGGGAGAGCAAAATCAGGAGCGTGCAATAGCGGCCCCCCACAAAGTATAGATTTTACCTTTGAGAAGGCCTGTTGGCACTGCTCCGACCATTGGACGGTATCCGGTCCCTCCTTTTTAGTGAGATCAGTCAATGGGCTGACAAGGGCCGAATAATTAGGGACAAACCGCCTATAATATCCTGCCAGTCCCAAAAACTGTCTCACCTCCTTTTTGGTCTTGGGTCTCGGACAGGTTGCAATGGCTGCAGTCTTATTAATTTGGGGCTGCACCTGCCCGTGACCTAAGTGGAAGCCCAGATACCTTACCTCCACTCGCCCAATTGCGCACTTACGTGGGTTGGCCGTGAGCCCGGCCCGTCTCAGCGCCGATAATACCGCCCTCAGATGTTGCATATGCCGCTGCCAATCATTACTGTAAATGATAATGTCGTCTAAATAAGCAGCGGCATATGCTGCGTGAGGGCCGAGTATTTTGTCCATCAGGCGCTGGAACGTCGCCGGCGCCCCGAACAGCCCGAACGGAAGCGTAACAAATTGGTGCAATCCAAACGGCGTAGTGAAGGCTGTTTTTTCGTGGGATATTGGAGATAAGGGGATCTGCCAATAGCCCTTCGTTAAATCCAATGTCGAGTAATATCGAGCAGCACCTAACCGGTCGAGCAACTCGTCAATACGCGGCATTGGATAAGCGTCGAATTTCGACACAGCATTCACATTGCGATAATCCACACAGAACTGGACCGAGCCGTCCGTCTTAGGTACCAAGACAATCGGGCTGGCCCAGTCGCTGTGGGATTCTTCTACTACTCCCATTTTCAGCATATTATTCAATTCTTCCTGAATCACTTTTTTCTTGTGTTCAGGCAGGCGATACGGCCGGGTCCTAACGACCACGCCCGGATCGGTCTCGATATGGTGCTGAATCAGGTTGGTACGACCGGGCAGGGGCGAAAACACGTCAGAGTATTCACGTTGGAGGTGCCGGATGTCGAGGAGCTGGCTCGCTGAGAGATGATCGCCCCCGGTGACCAGAGCGCTCGGCCGTTCACGGCCGGAGCTCTCCGGCCCCAGGTCATCCTCGTTAGTAACAAGCGTAGCCAGCGCCACGTCCTCCGGCTCCCTCCACTGCTTAAGCAGATTAATGTGATAAATCTGACGCGAGTCAGCCCTGTCCGAACGAACCACCTCGTAATCGAGATCACTGACTCGTCGTGTGAACACAAACGGCCCTTGCCACTTGGCGAGTAATTTAGAGCTGGAAGTGGGTAGCAGTACAAGTACTTTATCTCCCTGTGAAAATTTACGGAGTTTAGTGCCCTTATCATATCGCCGGCGTTGGTCATCCTGAGCCTTAAGCAAATTCTCTGTAGAGAGCCGCCCCAGTGTGTGGAGTTTTGCTCTAAGGTCCAGGATATATTGAATTTCATTTTTACTTTTAGAAGGCTCGTCCTCCCAAGCCTCTCTAACAACATCCAAAACCCCTCTGGGCTGTCTGCCGTAGAGAAGCTCGAAGGGGGAAAACCCCGTGGAGGCTTGGGGAACCTCCCGCACAGCGAATAATAAGGGCTCCAACCACTTATCCCAATTTTTCGCGTCCTCGTGAACGAATTTACGGATCATTGATTTAAGCGTGCGATTAAATCTTTCCACAAGCCCGTCTGTTTGTGGGTGATAGACGCTGGTGCGAATAGATTTAATGCCCCATAATCCGTAAAGCTCGCGCATCGTGCGTGACATGAACGCGGTGCCTTGATCAGTGAGAATCTCCTTGGGGATTCCCACACGGGAGATGAGGCGAAACAGCGCCTCCGCAACGCTCTTTGCTGAGATATTACGGAGCGCGACTGCTTCCGGGTAGCGGGTTGCATAATCCACCAGAACCAATGCAAACCGATGCCCGCGTGCGGATCGCTCTAATGGCCCGATGAGATCCATACCAATTCTCTCGAAGGAGATCTCCATAATTGGTAAAGGGCGCAACGGCGCTTTTGGGGTGGCCGGCGGATTTACCAGCTGACATTCACTGCAGGCAGCGCACCATCTGCTTACGTCACCGTGAATGCCCAGCCAAAAGAATCGGGTCATGAGGCGATTTAGTGTGGCCGCCTGACCTAAATGTCCGGCCATAGGATTAGAATGAGCCGCCTGAAAAAGCATTTCCCGGCGGCTCTTTGGTACTAATAGCTGGGTTGTATCTTCTTTTGTCTGAGTGTCTTGGGTCACTCGATACACCCTATCATTAATAACTGCAAAATACGGATAGGAGAGGGGTCGATCAGGCTGGAGGATTTTCCCATCAATAACTTGCACTCTTTCGAGTGCATGTTTTAGTGTATCATCACGCGACTGCTCCAGGGGAAAGTCTTTACACCGGGAAATTCCCAGCCCTTCCTCTGAGTCAGCGCGTGACGTCACTGCTTGGGATTCCCCCAGCTGAGCGACCCGCCCCCTATCTGGCGATTTCTTCTTCCAAGAAACACCCGCACATAAAACTCCCAATAATCTATTAAATCCAGGCCAATTAGTTCCCAGAATTAGCGGGTGTTTGAGGTGCGGGTTAACCGCTACCTCCACTCTATGCTTTTTCCCCCGAAATTGAATATCTATTGCCGTTAGCGGGTAGTGAATAACATCCCCGTGTACACACCTTACCCTTACCGTGCGGCTCATATCCAAAGCCGGAGCAGTTCTCTGGTGCATGATCCGCCCCCCCGCAATGCCAACATGCCGGCCCAGACCTTCCCGTTATACCCCCGAGGGCAGCAGGACCAACTGATTGGGCCGGAGAGAGACCCGTCATCGCTGTAGGCCCGCCCATGCCACGTGCCTCCCCGTCTCTATCCCGATAGGTGCCCCAGCGATGCGTGCTGCGCTGGGGCTCCGGGCCTGGGATCCGCCTCCTGGGAGTCGGTATGGGCGGTCCCCTCGATCTGGGCCTGGGGATAGGAGGAGAGA